TTTCATCAAATTCAAGTTTTCGTAGTTGTTCTATTAAATATGTTTTTTAATTGAAAATAGCAATGATTAAATATAATAATAATAAATGGAAGGTAGTGGAACTGACTGAAGACACACCAAAACATTCACTAACGAACAAACTAATTTATAAGACAGGACACAGACATATCTAGATGTAAGGAATATAACTGTGTGGTGCAATCAATTCAGTCACTGCAGGAAAAATTTCTCCGTAAAATCGCCAATGATCCATTATATATGGGGTGTTACAGGATGAAATGTCAATACTGCCATGGTGGATTCAGAAAATAAAACGTAGTTCAGGGCCGCCAGAACGAGGTTTCTACCTTGACTCTTCCCTGAGATGTTAATATTTTTGTGATTTCAATCTAAAATCAAAGTTTTTTTTACATAAACTTTAGCGTCATTAAAGACAAATTTGGCTTTTATTTTGTAAACTACATTAAATTTATTAGAAGGTAACAACATTTCCGTTGAAAAATTCGTCCTTCCTAATAAACAGTAGCCGCTCAAAGAATAACAAGTGGGTAAAACCCATGTTTTTTTATGAAAATACTCAATTATGGCTCATACAATGACTTTTTCATCAAATTTTTCTACCAAAGTCGCCGAATTTTATAAATATTCAAGGACATACTCACTTTTACGTTTTTTAGAACTTTTCTTAGTGAAATCTCCTTTGCAAGGTTGAATAACATGTATCGAACCCAAGGAGAGCAGCAACCCAATAACATCGTCATATTTTTAACGGAAGCTAGTTGGTAACAAAAATTATAGCATTCATCTCGTGGCCAGCGATTTGAGACCACAAGATTTCTACATATGGGGAAGTACAAAAAGTGTAGTGTACAGCACACACATCGAAACGAGGAAACAGTTCATAGAGAAAATTGAAATCACGTATAAATGACATGAGGGGATGAAGGGAAGAGGACCTCCTTGCAGTCATGCAGCCACGTCGGTTGTGCTACATTCGCGCTTCTGTATCCAATACGAAGGAAAACATTTCGAACAATACATCAGTTAATTTGAAAAAAAAGCATAATTTAATGAAGTTTAATTTTCATTGTATTTTTTTTAATTATATACACTTTATGAGAAGAATGGATCTGATTTTTGTTACCAACTAATAAATGCTTTTATTAAAATCCAATTAATTAAGACTCGGGCACTAAAACCTTAATTAATCGAATTGTATTAATTGGCCAAGCGGACCACGAAAATAGTGAATTTAATGAGTATCCTTCGCTAAAGCTCTCCGTGGCCATTTGATTTGTCGCCGAGAATCAAATCGATTACTCGACATTTGAAAAATGGCAAAAAGGAGAGAAAATTCGAAGGTGGGGTTGAGATGGGAAGTTAGTGACCGAGTGGATCGAAGTCACGATAGCTCAAGTGGTAGAGTAGCGACGTATCAAGCCGAAGTTCGTGGGTTCGAATCCCGCTCGAGACACTGACTTTTTTATCTCAACTTGAAGTGTATTAATTGGTCAAGCGGACCACGAAAAATAGTGAGTTTTTATTAAAATCTTTCCATTAATTAAGGATTTTAGTTGAGATAAAAAAGTCAGTGTCACGAGCGGGATTCGAACCAACGATCTTCGGCTAGACACTAACTTCCCATCTCAACCCCACCTTTTGAATTTTCCCTCCTTTTTGCCATTATTTGAGGTCACGATAGCTCAAGTTTGTAGAGCAGGGGCGTATCTAACCGATGATCGTGGGTTCGAATCCTGCTCGTGACACTGACTTTTTATCTCAACTAAAAACATTAATTAATTGAGTGATATTAATTGGACCACTAAAACTGTCAGTTCGATGTTTTGGGTTGATCTCTCTTTGGGTTCGATATCACGTTTTTGAACCTTGCAAAAGAGATTACACGAAGAAACGTTCTAAAAAATGAAAAAGTGAATATGTTCTTGGAATGCGTATAGAATATAAAACAATGCAACTTTGGTGAAATTCCCGAAAATGTTGATGGAAAAATCATTACACGAGCCCCATTTGAGTATTTCCACACAAAAAAAAAACCCGCAAGTTTTGCCATTTCTTATTTTTTGAGCGGCTACTGTTAATTCTGAACCATTTTTCAACGGAAATGTTATGTTGTGAAAAATTAAATGTAGCTGGCGAAATAAAGGCCAGATTTGTATTTTAATGACGCTAAAGTTGCGAAATTACGATTTTATGTATAGAAATCTGATTTTAGACTATAATCACAAAAATGTTAATATCTGTGGAAAGTCAAGATAGAAAACTACTTCTGGTGGCACTGAACTACGTATTATTTACTGAATCCACGATGACAGTAACATTTAACCATTTATCCCTGTAACACCCTGTATATCGAACCTCTTACCTTACTCACCAACCTCCAAATTTCTTTTATAAAACAACTCGTATTTTCCCATTGGACAAAATTCCATGAGTCTATAAAAAAATATATAACCCATATGTCAAACAAATATGCCCCCTACAGCCCGCCGTTTATGAAGTTAGTAGCCATGGGACGTACTTAATAACTACTGGTCGTCGATTAAAGCCTTCTTGCCATTTCAATTTTTAATGTTATATATGTATTTGAATGTTTTCATTATTAATTTTGTTAAGTAACACAATAGAAATTATTTTTGACCTCTTTAAATGCAGGTATAAATTTCTCAGCAATAAAAAAATAAACAAAAATTACATTTAAAAAAAGGAACAATTTGTTCTTCTTATACAGAAGCAAGATGTACTTTATATTCGAGATCAACTTTCTATAAATTAAATGTGTTAACTAATCACAAACAGGATGCAATCCGCTATTATTGGTTGCTGTCACATATATTAAGAATTGCAATTATTCGATTCTCTCGTTGGATAATAGATCCTGTTAATCTTTTAATCAGAAACAAACGTCGTCCTAATGCAGAAACAACTTTGTGATGCAACTTTGTCCGAATAGAAAGTGGCGTTACGGGTTGTTTGGAACCCGTTGTGGCAGAGGAAAGCCCAGGGGGATGGTCGGGTAATGCCCAAAGTACTCTCGGTCCCGTTTGACTAAGAGAAATATCGAAATATTTATCGACTGAAAACAACTTTGGATTGCAAGGAATAAAAAATTTAAAAAAGATACTTTAGAGTACGAGAAAAGTTGGGGTGTAAGAGAGAAATAAAAACCGAGTAGGTGGAGTATAAAAGAATATCGTATTCAAAAAAAGCGAAAATGTGTAAATATATATGTTGTATTTACTACTATTTTATAGTTACAGTTATTACTGTGTACTGCTATTTGATAAAAATGTTTAACCAATGCTTTATTTGTTTGAACATTTACGATATTTTGCAAAATCCGATCTGAATTTAATTAGTACAAGATAGTTACTACTAATAAACTAATTATTACAAGGACGGATCATATCTCTTTTAAAGGTTTCATTTTAAAATGTCAAATTTGTATGTTTAAGCTCTTTTTATTAGTACATTTTACCACTCTATGACACATTGTTATAAACTGTATTGTCGAACCTTAATTCTGTTAATATTTCATTTAATTGGATATTGAGGTAATAAATTTCAACGTTTCTACTCTGTCAAGTGGAAACCGATATTAATTATATTTTTACCCATATAAGTATTCAGTTTTCATAATTGACCTATTAATTATTTAATTTTTTTGTATTTATTGTTTTGGTTAAAACGAAAAAGCTAGTATCTAGCGGGACATATCACGTCACAGTAGCTCAAATCGTTAAAGCAGTACCTATTGAGCCACAAGTCGTGGGTTCGAATCTCGCTCGTGACATAAGATTTTATATCTCAACCAAGGCCTGAGATAAAAAGTAAAATTAGTTTAAATGATTAATTATATTGTAAACTGAAATAAATTTTAGATATTTTTCAATTTAATTTTCACGCTTTGTTATAATATTTGTTCAATTTGGTATTTTCAAAAATTGGGTACATTTTAACGGTCTAATAAGAATTTTTTTACGAAGACATTTAAACTACGAAGTTATATCAACCCCCGCCGTAACGGTGATTTAAAAACAAAAAAGCCCATTTGTAAGTAAATTTGTTTCGAATGCGGCCGCTGGATTCGAACCCAGGACCTTTAGCATTGCGGTCACCCACGCCCATGATGTTGAACATTTCGTAAAAATCTGTCCCTAAGCATCGTCATTCAATTTTTTTCTCAGGGCATGAATTTTATTTTCAAAAAGCGCACAACCAAACCTTTAGTATTTCGTCGATGTTATATTTAAAAAATAAACAGTTAAAAATATTGAAGCCAAAGTATTTTATGAAAGTAAAAAAGTGACTTTTCACCAGAGGTTTTATTTTAGGTTACATTTGAATTTCGAATTTTCGAGCTCTACTGTACTGCGAAATTGAGATTTTTGCCGGATAGCATGGTTCCAATTATTATGGACTTATCCAGTCTTAAGCCACAACATTCCATTCTGATCTGTGTAGACTTTTTAATATTTGAATCGAACAATTTCAATGCTCAAAATTGCAACATTTTACATCAGACGATACAGAAGAAATCTTGTTTAATTAAAAAAATTGACATTTTTGGTCGTTTCATAAAGATTTTTGAGCGATTACGTGCGGAAAATTGCAAACCGTTTACACCAAACGATGGAAAAAATCTAGTTTAATAAAAAAAAATTTAAATTTGTGATCAGAATTTGAAAAAAAAATTTTGAGCACTTCCGGTGCACAAAATTGCAAATCATTTATACTAAACAATGCAGAAAAATTTAGTTTAATATAAAAAAATTATAGTTTCTGGCCAAAATTTTCAAAAATCTTTTTCGTCTCCAAAATTGATTAACACTCCTTAAACAATTATAATTAATTTTAACCACCGTTAACAAAATCTATCTTTCGAAATTATACCTATCAAGAAGATATTTAGAATTTATGAGCAAGCCTTAAAACAATGCTTAACATTGTAATATGTATATATGTGATTATTTTTTTAATAGACGACCATCTGATTCGGAGATTTCTCACCTGCTGCGACCACAGTCTGGAAAAGACGAAAACTACAATGGATCATTTTTTCTGCCTCAGAGCCGACACCCCGGAGTTTTTCTCCGACCGGGATCCACTTCAACCCAAGATGCAAGAAGTATTCACACAAATGTGAGTGAATTTAAATTTGAAATTTCATGTACTATTGTTGAAGAACAGTTCTCAAAACATTTTCGGGGTAGTGTTATGCGATATCATCGTTGTAACGAGACCTCAGACAGCTTAGTCTAGTAATTAAACAACATACGAAATTATAAATGTAAAGATATACGTAAAATTACAAAGGCTTGTCTTACTGTCTGTTATATGTTTTTAACATAGACTTAAATTTTTTTGGTTATGTTTTATTTTCAACAATGCCCCCTTATTTAAAGGGCTACTTTTTGACATTTACATCTCGATCATTACATTTTAGAGGTTACGTTTTGACATACGACCTTTGCTAAGAAACTGTAGTAGCTGTTTTGTGTTTTCAATTTTCGTTTTTATAAATTTTATCAGAATCATAGTGAATATAATATCTGAGATCAACTCTTCTTGAGCTTTTAACCTTTTAAGCTTTTTAAGGCTATCACGGGTCTTCTTCAGGGAGGTACTCTTAGCTCTATTCTCTTCGTTGTATATATCGCTGATGTAATGTCAATCACCCCTGAATTTAAAAGGATACTACGATACGTTATGCCAATACTTACATCTACGTGAAGGTCAAAAGCATCTTCGAGTGCAAGCAAAAATTAGATAAGTTTATGGTGAAACTTAAAAATGGGATGGAGTAGAAAAGTTCTCTGAAGAAAAATCGGTCTTATGCCCGTTATGCGAAAGCGCAAACATGGATTTCCTGACAATGCTACAATAGGTGGCTAAGTTTTCCATTCAAATCTGACACCTAATTCTTGGGCTTAACCTCGACGTATTAACAACAGTCCTAAAAGCTCTCGATGGGGAGCAGACTCAGCTACTAACTGCTCTTTAAAAATCGGGCATCAAATCGTGCCAGATTAAGGAGCAATCTTTTCTGACGAGTTGATACACTCCCAGCTTAAAAATGTACAAATATTCCTAAATAAATGAGTTAGACGTGCATTAGGATGCCTATAAAGTTCCCATAATAGCCATCTCTGCGTATACAGCTGAGCCACCGTTTAATTCATGATGAAAAAGTTAATTGTTAATAAAATTATCAATCTCTACCAGACCAATGACCAAAATAGCTGCCTTAGCAAGAAAGTTCTGAAGGGATAAAATGTCACCACTGATTGTGGAAGCTTTCTTAATGAGCGTACTTCTCATCTACTCAGAATTTAATAACCCAGTTTATAGCTTTAGTAGCTGTCATTACACTTCGCTCTATTCGGAATTTCCACCATGGATTTCTAAAAAAATGTTTCAGATTGATGCCAGGGAGCTCTTTGCTGACCAATATCTGATTTTTAAGGATGGCCCTCTGGTGGAGTGTGGCTGGGTCTGCTTTTATAGCTTAGTACGGAGGGCAAATAAAAGATTTTATCTAGTTGCAAATAGATCAATATGCTCGGCCGAATCCATGGCTATTTTACAGACATTAAAGTATGTTAAAAAAAATATTCAGAAATTTGTTATGTTGAAAGAGTCAAAAATTGTCGTTTTGCACTTATAAATTCGAAACAATATTTTGGTAAATTACAGTTAACTGATCAACAATGAAAATATAACCTTATGTTGGATTAGAAAACAATCATGCATCCGTGAAAATGAGCTAGCTGGTAGATTGAAAATTTAAAAAGAGGCAATTGTTAGAAGGGAATTTTGCGAATTTGAAGGCACAAAAAGAGACTGTAAAAATGTACTCAATACAAATTGGCTGTCTTTGAGAGCCAGAAATATCATGATTCTGTAAGGGTTTCGTTGTATCGGTTCAGGTTTCCTGTGGTGCCCGAGGCTCTATGGCAGGGGTGCTCAAACTTGAACTGCTGGCGATCTACCTCAATATTTTTAGACTACTTACGATCGACTCTGAGAGGCTGCAAGTGTGTGTGATGCAGGGTTGTCGTACATACACGATACACCCTACCTACCTAGGTAGGGTGTACCGTAGCATATATAGATATTAGCTTTCTGCACAATATAGGTACATTATTTTAGTCAAGGTTTGGGTTAGGTTTAGTTAGGTTCTTCTCTACAATATCAATGAAAAAACTCATAGTTATTCAAAATTGCGAGTTTATTGGTTGTTACAAAACAAAAGAGTTACATATGGTGTTAAACTTAACTAAGGAGTGGCTTTGGATGTTGAAGCGTGGCACTGCATGTCCTCAGCATACTTTTCATAAGATGGTACGTAACCACTGAGTGCTAATCGCAAGCATGATGACATATGATCGTCAGTTAGTCGATTGCGATATTTTGACTTAATTATCTTCCAATTACCATCCGAATAAAAATACACAGCTAGGCAGTGTCGGTCATATCGGTGGATTCGTCGAACTGTAAAGAAAAGTATGTACATTCCATGATATCATGTTTTAGTTTATCTGCGATGTCCTGACTCATGACTTCAATACGCCTTGTGACAGTCGGACGAGACAACTGAAGTTCTCTAATAGCAGACATGATTTCTGTTTTATTTTTAAAATCTCCAAATAAAGTCTCACCCGCTTCAATAAATGCTTCCTTCACCACCGATCCATCTTCGAATGGTTTCTTGTGTTTCGCCAATATATGAGATATTTTAAATGACGCGATCGTAGCAGCTTTTGATTGTTTGGCTGGTCTTGTGAACATGGATTGTTCTTTTTTCAAACAAGATATCAAATCACTTACTTTTCGTTTTCTTAATTCACTCTGTGGCGGAAAATCCTTTTCATAGTTTTTATGAACCGTTTTATGATGCCTCTGTAAGTTACCACGCTTAGGTATTGCAACTGACGCACGACAAATAACACAAATGCACTTATCCTTCACCATACAAAAGAAAAATTCTTCCTCCCAATCCTTATTAAAATGATACGTTTTAGATTTCACTGCACTCATTTTCCACTATTTAATAATAAACTTTGTATCGACGTAGTATCGCCATCAAGTTACAATTCAGAATGACTCCAATTCCTGCAGGCACAACATTTATATCGGCGTGAACGAAAGTCTGGAATGTTCCCGTCAAACGCGCCGCCCGAAACTAGACTGTACTGTCTCTCGTTGTTTCTAGACTAGACTGTACTGTCTACTAGTCTAGAAACAACGCGGCTTTTCTTTGACAAGTGCCGCGCGTTCCTTTGATAAAGCCACCTTTTGCCGCAAGCAGTGTTATTTTATTACGTAATACATTTTTGTAGTTTAGTTACCTACCTACTTATTAAAAAATTTTTTCTTCTCGAGATCTACTCAAAAAACACTCGCGATCGACCGTTTGAGCACCCCTGCTCTATGGTTTCACAGATTCAGGGCTATACTTATTTCTGCACCATAACTACACGACTCAATCAACCAAGGTTTATGCATTAACTCGAAGTTGCCTAACTCTAAGTCCAACTAATAAATGGAGCGGATTGAACCACAGCTTCCAGAAGACTTCCTCAATGTACCTTAGTTCAGTCAAAAATAGATTTTGCATGTAATGAATTCTCTAAGGGCACGGATGTTGATTATAACATACCATAACTGATTGTCTTTAAAAAGATTGTGACTCAAGCGTAGTTCACGAAGCGAAGCGTTCTCCACGTCTTCTCCACCGTGCCGTCATCGGATGCTCATCAGCAGCTCATGAGAATCATCTCAAACCATATGGGCACTCATCTGAGAAAGGACCAGCCAGAAGTGATCAAGCGAAATGCTGAATTGTGAGTAGTTACCATTCTACACGAAGTCTCTCCAATAGTAGAGAACCTGATGCGGGACGTCCAGAGAGTAGGCTGTACTCACGAAACCGTGTGATGTCTGTTTTCGATCTCACTCATACATCACGGACCGTTTGAAGTTAATGTCTATCAAGGAAGCCGTTAAACGACGGTTCCGTTGTGTGGCAAGGCAATAAAACAATAGTCTTTAGCCGTCGTACGCGACCAACCACAACCTTCTCTTCGATTTAAGACTTAACTAACTTAACTGTAGACCATTGACACGGCGTCATCACGGTAACGTAAAAGTCCCTTATTCGAACCCAACGTAATTACAATTGTTTTTTTGTTTTTTCAAAAACTCCGATACCACAAAGATTCACATGACCTCGGATGTTGCGAACCATTTAAAAAAAATTAATTTAAAAATTGTACAAGTTATTTCGTACTATGTTCGAGTATAATGGTTTGGTTTAAGGTCTTGGTTTAAACGTGGAAAACTTTACGGACAACATTTTTTTTCAAATATATGATTTCAGCTATAACGTGTTTGCGAGTTTCCATTTATTGATTTATATTTATGATTTTTTTGATGAAGTGGTGCGTTTCTTTTTTCGACGTATTTTAGGCTTCAGCTAACTTTAAATTAATGGATGTTCTGAAATATCCGTCCTTTCATGGTTTGTCCTTCCGAAGCTGTAAGAAGAAAAGAAAACCTTTAAAAAAAATATATATAGGAAGGAAAAAACAAAAAAGATAGAATGGCATTTTCCTCTCCAAGGTGAACAAAGAAATACAGCCCATGTATTCAAAGTATTGCACGTTTGAATATGTGCGCGTACGTGTTTATTCGTTTGGCCACAAATCAAACGGCGAGAAAAATTTATGATCGCACGTCAACGGGCATTTCGATGACTGATGAGTTCAAACAAACGTGAAACTCGAACAAATTGCATTCATCCAAACTCCCGGTCGCCCTTCTTCTTATTTTATTTTATTCCCGTCCATCGGAATGAAAAGCACTATGCACAAACGAACGTCACATTTTAATTAATGTCCCGCGGTCTGGAAAATATGTTTATGCCCAGCGCCCTCTCACAAAATGTATGATTTGTTAGATTGAGCAACTCTTGAAAGGACAAGCCGTGTTTCCTGCACAAAGAATGGAAACAGGAAAAAAGCAAAGATTTGCAGGAACTTTAAATATCATATAAATTCACTAAATTTCGTGGTCCGCTTGACAAAATAATATCTTTCAATGAATTAATCTGTATTTAAGGTACAGATTGAGATAAAAAA